CTCTCTCTCTCTCTCTCTCTCTCTCTCCTCTCACCTGGTTGAGAGCCAGGGCCGGAGCGTAGAGCACGACTGCCATGTAGAGGAACATCTGCACCACAAAGATACCGGAGGCCAGATAGCGAGTCCACCGACTGAACCTGAAAAAGTCCTGTTAAAGTTTAGTGTTCTGAAATGTCACTGTTAAAGTTTAGTGTTCTGAAATGTCACTGTTTAAGTTTAGGGCTCTGAAATATCGCTGTTTAAGTTTTGGGCTCTGAAATGTCACTGTTTAAGTTTAGGGCTCTGAAATGTCACTGTTTAAGTTTAGGCCTCTTAAATATTGCTGTTTTAGTTTAGGGTTCTGAAATGTCGCTGTTTACGTTTTAGACTCTGAAATGTGGTTATTTCAGTTTAGGGCTATGAAACGTCGCTGCGTAAGTTAAGGGCTCTACTGATATACAGTTAACCTGACCATGAAGACCACCGGCAGTAGTCGAGGTGAAAAGTGGTCGTCAAAGACAGGTGATCGTGGTCCTCTTCGGCAGTGCCATTATAATATTACGAATGAAAGTCGCAAGGAGGGAAGCGGGATGTGGTCGCTTGCACAGGTGTCTGTCTTGTACAGGTGTCTGTCTTGTACAGGTGTCTGTCTTGTACAGGTGTCTGTCTTGTACAGGTGCCTGTCTTGTACAGGAGGTCGTTAGATCAGGCTAGGCTGTATAATCACGATATAAAGCAATCAGCAGCTGTGCACTGTATTGGCAGCTGATGTGCAGTTGGCAAAAAACAAACAAACAAACAAAAACAAAAACAAAACAAAAACAAACAGCCCTAAACTAAAAAAACCCTAAAAACATAAAAAACCACAAAAAAACCCAAAGCAAAAAACAACAATAAAAAACAAAAAACACCGTGAAAAGCACATCAAAGTCAAAGTCCTGTTTCCTGTGTCAATTAGAACAGAGGCTAGTTCTTTCTTGTGTGGAAAAAATGCTCGTTTTGAAAGGCATATTGAAGCCAGACAGTTTTCACAATGATTTATCACACACTTCCTGTCCTAATTACACCTCACAGACCCCCACCCTCCCCTCTTTCTAAACCGACCGCCCTCCCCACCCCCCACCCCCCGCAGAGAATAGAGTATCCCCTACCTTTTTCCAAAATTAATAAAGGGAAATCGAAAAAACCTTTCTGTTTATATCCTTCATGGCCTCTGTCTTTCTCACTCTCTTTTTCCCTCCTTTCCATCCCCCTCTCCATTCTCTCTCTCTCTCTCTCTCTCTCTTTCTCTCTCTCTCTCTCTCTGTCTCTCTCTGTCTCTCCCTCTCTGTCTCTCTCTTCTCTCTCACACATATGCACACATCTCTCCTACCCCCCTCTCTCGTAACTCTCTCTAGTTTCTCTCTCTTTTTTTTCACTATGTCACTCCCACTCAGTT